TTCAAGGGTGTTTGCTATTCTGCCCAGTTTTGTATCATGTGCGATGGTGGGGTTCAGACAACATGACAAGCCATGGTGGATTTTTACCATTGTTGGTCTGTTATGCTGTCTGAACCCAGTTGTGGTATTGCACCATGGTGAGTTTGGTCTTTAGAAACCATGATAAGGAACAATGGTTTGTCCTTTGATTTCTCTGTACCACCATGGCTTGTCTCATCAGAACCCAGGACCGTGGTTGCCATGTCTTGGTTTGTAACTACCATAGAGTTCCCTGGAAAAGAGCAGCAGTTGTGGAGCCACTCCAGCCATCTGGCTTCAATGAGCAGATCAATGCAGAAGAAGCAGGCAAAACAGGCAGGGAGAGATGCACCTTGGGATTGAAGTTCAGGCATGGTGGCTGATGGGACACATGCCAACAGCAGGAGAACTGAGCCGAGGGGATAGAAACCATGAGAACATCGAAACCACTTGATTATAAAACCGTCCCAAGACTATTTGGCAGTGGGTGGTATGGGAAAGTTTAAAAAATAGAAGTCAGTTAGTTCATGGCAAAAAACACCCCGCACAGGGGTGCCTGCCACATTGTGCGAGCCCAGCCAATGTGTCCAGCTCCAACAGCTGTACATGTTCAGCTCCCTCATCAAGAGCAAAGCTAGCATAACTAAGGATGTCCGAAAAATCTGCGGCAGATGCAAGTGCTGATCCATGAATGCTGGGGGAGCGGATTCAGTGGACTCTACATGTTCCTGGGGGGCTTGTTTGTGGGCAAACACAGAAGGCCCAGCCCATCTCTCCCCAACTCCTTGCTTCCTGCAGCAGACCCCCAGAGGCCTCTGAGCAGTTAGCAGCCTGGCTTGGAGTTAACCCCGCGCCACACCAGACCTCCAGCTGGGCTTGGGCTTGAATCGCGGGGCTCTTTGTGAACAGAAGTGATCTAGTCTTGCAACACCAACCCTTTCAGCTGCATCAGCTGCAAACTCTACTCTCCAAGCCACCTTCGGGGGGGGGGGGGCAGGGGTACACAGAGCACCCTCCAGCTGTACTTTAGCTGGAGGATTATCCCAGCATGGAGTACTCTGACCAGCCCATCTCTGACCAGGAATAGTGGCCCATCAAGAGCTGGAATGAGGGATAGGGGCAAATGTCTAATTTTCAAATTGATATGTGAACCAAAACTCAGTTTTTCTTACAAAACTTGAACTTATGTGAAGGACTTCAAAGGACTCCTTCAGTGTAAACATTGTACCAAAAGGTCCGCATTAGTGAGAATAACATGAAGCATGCTTTATATCAGGAAGACTGCCTTGGTAAAATGACCATTTGGGGCAAAATGGCGCATAACATGCATATATTAGGAGAAACACACAAAGAGCGCCCACATTATTGATGCAACTTAAAAAAACTTCTCGAAGTTCAGGTTGAAGCAAATTTAGGAAAGCAACAAATGAGGAAACAGCTTTGACATCCATCGCCCATCCCCATTGAATCACTGCAAGAACTTGGGCCTTCGGGGACAAGGGAGGATCAAGGAGAAGGGAACAGATTGCCCACCCTCTGCCACAGCCCCATCCAAGGCAGGCAGGCCCCTAATTCCTCAGCAGTTGAGCATCACTGTGCTAGACCTACAAGGATATAGAAGGACAAGCCCTGACAGAAATCAGTGTGGCCTCTGTGAAGGTAAGGCCTGTCTTGCTGACCTATTAGAGCACTTTGCGAGTGTCAGTATGCAAGTGGCTGGGGCCGTCTGGCAGACCCTTTTTGCTTAGGCTTCCCAAAGGCTCTTGCCAAAATCCCTCATCAAAGCTCCCTGAGCCAACTCTGCAGCCATGGAGTAACAGAGGAGGTCTCTGGTGGATCTGTAACTGATTGAAGAACAGGAAGCAGAGAGTGGGAATAAATGGCAATTTCTCCCAAAGGAGGAATGTAACCACAGTGGTCCCACTGGGCGCTGTATTAGGGCAAACATTTTTCAGTTTGTTCATAAATGATCAGGAATTAGGAGTGAACAGTGAAATGAGCAGGTTCCCTGATGGCAGCAGATCATTTAGGGTGGTTAAAACATGGATTGCAAAAGTGTTCTAAAAGGATCTCTCCAAAGTAGAAGAATGGGCATCAAAATGGCAAACGTAGTTCAGCGTAAGGAGGTATAAAATGAGACAGGCTGGGGAGAAAAATCCCAGCCTCACATATGCACTGACGGGGCCTGAGTTACCATGGACAAGCCAAGCCACGCAGCTTGGGGCTGCAGCGGACAGCTCCGCAAGAATGTACACTCGTGTGTGGCAGCTGTGGAAGGGCAATTCCTGTGTTAGGCAAAATTAGCAATGGCATTGGAGATAATGCTGTCAATATCATGCCGCAAAACAGAAGAAGAAGGACGCAAGTATCAGCTGTAAAGCCAAACACAACTAGCAAGACACAACTAAGCATCTTTTGCAAGTACCCATCAACACTTAGTCAAGGTGAGCAAGCAGACGTTGTTTACGTGTATTTCCAGAAGGCTTTTGCCGAAGTCCCCCATCAAGGACTCGTGTGCAAATTTAGCAGGCACAGATGGGAGGAGAAGAGCTCTTCTGGATCAATAACTGGTTTGAGAAGAAAAAGCAGGGAACACACTAAATGTCTACTATTTGGGGGGTGGGGTCCATTAGAGAAATTAACCTGCTATGGATTGTATTGTAAAATCAGACAACAATTCTCTTTCCCTTCAAAGAAAAGAAAATTGCCAAGTACACCAGTCACAACCAACGTTCTGCGATTTAATTTACTCAAAGTGCACCAAAGAGATGGCCAGTTTAGTCATGACAAACAGGATTCCCGGTACATGGGAAGCCCACTCTTACGTCTGCGTCTGCGGAGCGAACGGCACTGGGCGGGAGCGTTACGCGGAATGAGCACAGGACCTCGATTCGGTTACGCCGGCGGAGCACAGATTTACTGAGCTTACGCTCTACCCCTTCAAGGCCCCAGAGAGTGCCTCAGACAAAATGAAGGCTCAGGGAGGCGCCCCGATGACTCCGTGGCAGCACATTTCCTTGCAGCTCATACTCGATTCCGTTTGCAACTGCAATGCCTCCCAACTGTTTATTTTCCTTCTTAAAAAACAAAACAACTCCCATCATCTATCGGGGGTCTTCCCAGGTGCAGACCACTAGAGAAAGGGAAGGTAGAGGGAATTTTTTGGCTTGAAACTCTGATTTCTAATAAGGCTTTGGAGCGGAACAAGGAATGGTGTGGTTTTGCACAACAGGCAAACAGACACACAAACAAGCAATGGAGGGAGGCCCTAAGCAAAAGGCTGGCAAGGAAAGGACGGGGTGACACAGAAAGGCCCCATCAGGGAGAGGTGACAAGATGTCCTGTGGTGCACGAACTCCTCCTGGTGCTAGGCAGGTCCGTTGGACACCCAGTCTGGGACCAGACACAGGCCCTTCTGCAGCACCTAATCCTGCCGTCCAGGTTCTGGAGACAGATCCAGCCCAGCCACCAGGTGGTCCCTGCTTTCCCCCTCCACGATTGAGTGTTGGATGGTTTGGGCAGCTCCCCCACCCCTTCATTCTAAAAGGCTCTTAGAACTCAGTTGCTAGCAGGAAGAGCCTGAAGCCGGCCCTTTCACTGTTTGGACCCCACCCCGCAGCTTCAGCCCACCTCCCACTGGGATGCAGCCCCTGAAAGCGTCTTCAAAATTGAATTTTGCCCTCAGGTGAGCAGGGTCCTGGCATATGGGAAGAAGCTGTACCCTTAAGTGGCTGAGAGGTGGGAGGTGGGACTGAGAACGGCTCCACTCATGGGGTGGTCAGAGGGGCTTCATGGAAAGCCCTGTCACTGGTAACTCCCTCAGAGGAGACCCATAGGGGAAATGTTGCTTACATGCTAATGGAGTTCTAGGGAAGCCCAACAGATCCAGGCAAAACATAGAGACATAGAACCAGAGAGAGTCAGAAGGGGTCTCCCGGGTCATCTAGTCTGACCTCCGGCTCCAGCCGGCTGCACTCATGACATGCCTACCATGTGCATGACCAGCCTGTCCTTGAACACCCGCACCGATGGGGCCGCAAGGGCCTCCCATGGAAGCCCACTCCACACCCTCAGGGTCCTGTCAGGAAATGCTTCCTGGCATCCAAATTGCACCTTGGCTCCCTGAGCTTTGCTCCGTTGGAGTGCGTCCTGCCTTCCTCTGCAGGGGAGAACAGGTCTCTGCCCACCTCCGTGTGGCGCCCCCTCACTTAGTGGGTATTGGTAGCAGTCCCATGATAGCCAATTCAATGTGGGAATAGCTTGCATTTCTAAAAGGCCTGTGAATGTGGAAAAATGAGACCCTCACCTCGTTACAGGGTTTCTGCATTCAGACAGGATATAGAAGCCCTGTAAATTTTGCGTCCGACTTTTGACTCCCCATAGTTACGATAGTCCAGATCTCAGAACTGCCTTTGCCATCGTTTCTGTGATCAGCTGTCCCACAACTAGGGGTGCAAGCCTCAAATCTTACCCTTAGAGACAGATTGTGTTCTCAGAGCTGTTGAGAGTGAGCTTCCACAAAGGAAGAAGCCACAATTTGAAATATGTTATATAAATTAAAAATTAGTATTTTGGGCAGGTTGTTTTTCTGCTGTAAGGCAGGCCTGTCCTCATTATAAATTCCCTGAAAATCTCACCAAAGCGCCTTTCGTCTTGTCTTCTGTTGTTTTCTGTTTTTCCACTCCTTCAAATGGGAAGAGTGCTGCGCACACTTCCCCATAGCTAATAGCATGAAAATGTATAATTTTTTGAAAACTACATATTCTCATGTGCACTTTCTTGAAAGAAATGTGCTTTGCAAATGTGGTGGCACCCTTCACAAGCATTCCTTGAAAGAAACCTGCTCCGGCTGAGCCTCACACTTGGAACCGTGAACGGGACATGCTTCCCCAAACATGAATGGCGTGCTTGGTCTGGATCACTAGTTAGCAACGAGCACATCAGATGCACACGCACAAGAAAATGCACGTCTATGGATATACCTGAGGAGTCCCCCGGGATCTTCGGTGGAGGGACATTGACCTCTTTCCGGTTGCCGTCGGAAGTGGCAGGGGGCACCACTGTGCTAACCCCGCTGGGGTTGCTCCTGCTTGTGCCAGGTCCGGGGCCAGGCCCTCTGGGCTGCACCGTTGTGGAGGCAGCCGTGGTGGTGGTGGCGGCGGCGGCGGTGGCGGTGGCGGTGCTGGTCAAGCTATGTAAGCCAGGGCTGGTGGTGCTCTCATACATCCCTGGGAATGTGCTTGTTTCCAGGGGTTCCAACGGACTGGTTGATCCCCACACAATCACCTCGGTCTCCAGGGTGGGCTTGCTGAAAGCCCGCAGGTATCGCTTCCTCCGTATCAAGTAAGTCTGCAGCTCAGTATTCCCATCGGCCAGGGAAGGGTCTGATTTTGCAGGCACAAAGTGCTCAGGCTGCCCGGATTTCCAGAGGAGGTCTGTGGCTTTGTGCAGCCTTCTGGAATGGTACATATTTGGCCGCTGTCCTTTGAAGCGTTCCAAAGAGGAAAAAGCGTGGCTTCCCAGAAGCCCAAGACTCCTCGCATGGTGCCCAGGCCTAAGACTCCACAAAGGGCCGTGGGGGAATCCGTACGGATGAGCAGGTCTTTGCGAGGGCGGAGGCCTACGGCTGTGACCCAAAGATTCGCAGGAGGTGAGATCCATGGCAAGTCGAAACATGGCTATTAAAATCCAAGCATGGCTTCGTACAGGACAACCTGACCTGTGGACAGACAGAAAACCGAGTCAGAAGAAGCAAGTCGACAAAGAGTGAGCCCAGCCGCGGCAGTCCCACTCCGCAGCTGCGGGTGTCCGGCACCTTCGTGGGTTACATTTCCCAGCCTGAGAGGCCCAGTCCTCCTCACTAAAGCTGCTCATTCTGGCATCGGCAGAAATTGTGCGTGGACCACAAACCCCACAGCATCCTCCCAGGCCTTCCTCATTCATTTGCACATCTGCTTGTTTCTTTGTACATTTACGTCTCTCCTTTTAGGCCTGATTGTAAAGCATTTAAAAACCAATTTGGAAACTTTGGAACAAGACTAAGCAACTCCTTCATTTTTGACCATTGGCCATGCTGGATGGGGCTTATGGGGGTTGTGGTAGAACACCTCTGGGGTGCTCCAGGTGGCCTGCTTGGGACCATCACCAGCTGCAGAATTAAGGGCCAGAAAGAATCTTGAAGGAGGCATACAGAGTCTGTACGTTTAAAAGGCTTTAAGGCAATACGGAAGAAAATGGTTTGGAGTATGCAGTTGGTACACCAGGTGTACCTGGGCAAAGGTACGCCGGCCTACAGCAGCTGCTTGACTCTCCAGGAGTAAAGCTGGTGCTGAGGCTGTGGACCCAATCCTTCAGAGGGAGCATCACCACAAAGGAGCTTTTCTACTGAGCAAGACTGAGCCTCGGGCTGGTGGTCTCACTCGCTCGTGTTCTTCCACCCCCCCCTCTCCCAAGCCAGTCTTCCAGCTGAGCCTCTGTGGAGCCCCATGTGCTCCCTCCCTCTCCTCCCACCTCCCTCTTCTCCTTCCCCAACTCATCCTCACAACCTGAGCATCCTTCCGCTTCCTAACCCAGTCCTGGCTGGCCATGTTGTGCCACCAGGTTCTCTACTGAGAATCCTCATTGCCAAGTAACCGAGCTCAGGCTGGCCGAGTGATGTGGAGATCAGCATCACCCGGCCCTGTTGGGGTTCCCCACTGCAAAGTTCAGACTGACTCCCCTCTGCGCCTGTTATGAGCACGTCTCTCCTTCCTGCATGCAAATTGTGAGGTCCTTGTCCACACATTCAGGCATTCCCGGGACAGAATGTGCTTGGTAGCGGAAAAGCAAGAACTCTGGCAAGACCGAGATCCGGCCCCCAGAGTGACGTGGCCATCATCGCTCAAGGGCAGAGCCTCCACCCCACGGCAGGGCACGCCACAGCTTCCCCCCATGCCCATGGGGAGGGCAGGCCATTTCCCCCAGCCGGACTCCCTTCAGGCCTGCCTGACTCAGCGTTCCCCATTCAGTGGAGCTTTGCGAAGTGGCAGCCACTGGCAGGTGTGATTCTACACAAGACTGGAGGCCTTGTGGGAGGAAAGGGGGTGTCTTTGCAGCATGCGATGGGCACCCCCTTTCCTCCCACAGGGCCTCCAGCGCCTCGCGTTGGCCAGGTTTGCTTGGGAGTCTGAGAACAAGTCACTGAAAGCCACAGGAAGGAACTGTCCCCATCTGCCACACATCGGCAGGTAACTCGCAGCCTCCGCAGGGGAGGCGTCAGGAGTTCAGGCTTCCAGGGGGAGCATCAGAGCATGGCTCTCCCTTAATAAAAGTGTCTGCACTCCCGCTGTCATTTATAAGGGCATGTCAGACTGAATCTCAGGCAATGGCTAACTCTCTGGATGCAACCTGGAATCTCTTTGCCTAGGAAGCGAAGCACTGTGGCGCTCAAGGCATCTACCTCCTGGCCAGCGCCCCCCCCCCACACACACACACGGCAGTGGAAGTTCAAAGATGCTTTGAGCCCACATGGAAGGCTCCCATAAAGGGTCCGGGTTCGGGTCAGGGCCAGATGGCTTGATCCAAGGCCAGACCAGGGTGTGCCAGGCTGGAAGACGGGGAAATCCATAACCAGAAGGCCACACTTTGCTAGGCATGGTGCAAAAGGAGAAAAAAGGGGTGGCGGGCAAGGGAGAACATGGACTGGAGAACAGGGATGGGCCTCCAAGAATCAGTGGACTGAAGAGTCAGTCAGGGAGCAGAGGTCTGGTGCTTCCTGTGCCTTTGTGTTCACTGCTTGCCCTCACATAAACACCTCTTTCCCCGAAGCGGCTGTATGACCAGGACAGGTAAAGTATGTGCCAGCGAGACAGCGTCTGCCTTTCTTTGTGTGTGCATCTGGGAGAAGGTGCCGTGCACGTCTCGGAGGCACAGCAGCCCCACCACAGCTCCTCAGGGACAGGTGCAGCCCCACTCGCCGCCGGAGTCCATTCCAAGCTCATTTCTGGAAGGACGGACAGCACTTTCCTGAAGGCATCTGGCTGAGGAGAATGCCTGATTGCGCTGACAGTTCTTTGTTTGTGAATTTTGTGTGTTTTACACTGCTGATTGTATATGCTGCCTTTTCTCTCACTTGTGCAATGCCAAGTCTGGGAGAGGCAAAATAAAATAATTTCAAACACAATTTAAGGACTGCACTGGGGTTGCTAAAGCTGCTCTTTCTCCCAGTCTTTCTGCCAGCCCCTCCCTTTCTCTCCTTTAGCCATAACCTTGGTCTCTTTCTGCTAATTTCTTTCTCCCCCCGCCCCCACCTTCCTCCTTTCTGCCAGTTTCTCTTTTTGGCCACCCCTCTCTCTCTCTCTCTCTCTCTCTCTCGCTCTCGCTCTCCTGCCTCACCCTCCACCCGGCTTCGTCACAAGCCGGGACTGATTACATGCAGATGACTTTTGAAGACCAGCTTCAGACTGCGACTTCGGAAGACCAACAGTCCAACACTCAGCCTCATCTCCAGAGCCACCAGAGGCTTCTGGGTAGCCCACCAGCAAGACACAAGAGCAAGGGGCCCCCACCGCAGCCACGCAGCAGCCACTTCGGCAACCAGGATGCAGAGACAAACTGCCCCTGAGCCCAGAGTCTCCATCTCTCCCACCTCCAGACCCCATATGCCGGTGTGAGGGGGCTACATAGTTGTTCTCGGCTGTACAGTGAATCCATGCCCTGCTTCCTTTTGGTGCATGTTGAGGCGAGGAGGTCACAGGTAGGAAATAAGAGCATTTCCTGCGGGTTCTTCTGTGCATTTAAGAGCCGGAGTGCTCTGTTCTAGCAGGGGGGTTCGTCTCCCCAGCATGGGAGTCAAGCGAGGCACAGCAGGGCTTCTTGCCTGAAATGCTGGGTTTGTGGAAGTCACACACACACACACACACACACACACACGGGGGGGGGGTGCTTGTAGATCTGGGGAACCCACATGCCACATCTAGGAGGCGTACTTTGCCCCCAGAGATGCAGGGCCACCCCTGAGGATGACTGGAAGACGGAGCCTCCCTAAGAAGCTCCGGGAGGCTCAGTTGAACCAAGGAGCGACTGAGGGAAGGCGAGGTGTAAGCGAAGCTAGCATGAAAATGGATGGGCCCAGTAGGATTTCAGAGGGCCTCTGGGATCTGTCCCCGGGCCCCACTCAGCACTTCCCTGCGCACCCCTTTGCAAAGCGGACTGTTAGGCGGGCTCTACCTGGTGCAGAGATGCCTGTCGCACTGGGAGCACACGGCCCGAGGCTTTACCCACGAAAGGCTGCCTCTGCCTTCCCCTGCCCCAAGAAATTGCAACGGGAGCCGAAGGGCGCCTTGGGAAATGTTGTGCTCCCACAGCTCCTCAGAAACCTTTGCTGGGGCAGTGGAGAGGCGAAGGCAGAGGCAGGGCAGGTGGCTTCGTCGCCCAGAGATCCCCAGCGTCTTCCAGAGGCCGCCCCCCTTGCAGGACTTGCAAGCAGGACGGCGCGTTCCCACTGGGGAGGGCTCAGGCTCCTGCAAGCACAGAGCCAGGACCTGCACCTTCCCCACACCGTCAAGTAAGTTTGGGAAGGAGAGAGAACATGCATGTTGTGTATACCTACTTGCAAGAAGCAACACACCTCACTTTTGGAGCAAGAATCCAGAGTGTCACCCATGGCAACATCAAGAGAATGGGAAGCTCATGGGAGCCTTTCCCAGGATGTCCAAAGGAATCGCCCTGATCCGCAGGAGAGGTTTGCTGAGCTGCCTCCTGGCCCCTTAGCGGGACTCCTCAGCCACCTCCACTGACTCTGTGGTCCACTTAGGGCAGCAGGTGGAGGAGTCGGCACCTGGAGAACCCGGCCGGCCAAGCAGCTGGCCTGGGGGCCCAGAGACCGGAAGCCCCGCCCCCTGGTGGAAGGCATGTTTATTTATTTATTTATCGATTTATATCCTGCCTTTTTCCTACAAAGGGCTCAAGGCAGCTTACATCTCCTCCTCCATCTTATCCCCACAACAACAACCCTGTGAGGTAGGTCGGGCTGAGAGTCTGTGACTGGCCCAGAGTCACCCAGTGGGCTCCATGGCCGAGGGGGGACTCGAACCCAGATCGCCTGAGTCCCAGTCCCACGCTCTTCACCACCACGCCACACTGGCTCTCACTGGCATCTCCCGAGACACCCGGATCGCCCGTGTCATCTTGTGCCCTGCATCCATCTGTGTGCTTGTGCGAGTGACAGGGACAGGATGTCTCTCGGAATATGGCAGCAGCGTGCAGGAGTGCCGGTTGTCTAGGCAACACACCACTCAATTGTTTGGAGACGGCTCAAGGGAATTCTGAGACTCGAGGGGGGATCCCCTTGGTCAGGCCAGGGAGGAGGGGAGGGTCAGTCTATTCCTGGCCCCTTGCATTGCTCACGTCCCCGTCACAAGCCCCATCCCACATTCATATGTGGGACTTTTCCTAAAAAGCCACAGAAACTTCTCTGAACATATTTTCTTATAAAACACACTCACTGCACCTTCTCCCTCTCAAAGCAAACATGTCTATTTCTAAATGTATCCTGTGCTGAAGTAAGAGATGTTCAAGCCTCAAATATTTTCTGGTCAACCAGGTCTGCGGGGAAAGCAAGCCATGTGCATGTGCTGAGAAGGCCATGAGTGCGCCTTCAGGAGAAAGCTGGGATGGAGTAAGTCACACCTGCCAGTGCTAGCCAAGGAAGCCGTGTCTGCTATAACACACCT